ACTTATATACCGTATTTATTCGATTAACCGCCCTGGGCGCTTATTAAATTTTTGGACCTTGAGAGTGGGCGCTTATTCGAGGTGGGCGCTTATTCGAGGCTGGGCGCTTATTAAATTTTCACCATTTTCAGCAAATGAAGTAGGTTTATTTTGCAACAAAACAATAAATGCTAATAACAATTCGCGAAGAAGTAACAAAGCAAGGTTTCTGTAAAATACTCTGAAGAAAACTCCGTCCTCGGGGAAGTCTCTTATTGGAACTTATTCACTTAAGTGGGTGGGTTGGGGGTGAGCGCTTATTTGAGTCTGATTGGGAGGAGGAGGGGTGGGCGCTTATTCGAGGCTGGGCGCTTATTAACTTTTTCTGCCTTTAGGATGGGCGCTTATTCGAGGTGGGCGCTAATTCGAGGTTGGGCGCTTATTCGAATAAATACGGTAGCTAACAAAACAAAAACTTTCTTCGCGGTCCGATAAACAACAGGATTTGGCATGGACTAGACAACACACAGAATGAAACACAGTGCACAAATTATCACCTTCTTATCTGCCAAAATCGGCCTATGGTTTAATGCCAATAGAGCCCACTGAAACTAGACCTAGATCCAATTTTCCTAAGTCGAGAGTTGCTTTTACAAGGTACAATCAGCTAAGCGAAACAACGACGAAACAATATTAATGGGTGTCACAGAATATTTTGGCCAAACCGCAGTTCAACCACGAGATCACATACCTGTCAACACCATGCGGAAATCACACAATCACACACTTTCGCGGTACTGATAAGAGTATCCACAACCACGCGTAATCTTCTCACGTTCAACATAAGCGAAATATCATCGAATAACTTGGAAAAACTCAGCCTACTGGCAAATAAACACCTCTGAACTTTTCTCTAACACTTGTCTTATTCAAGTTCCCGGATGTAGAGTCACACGGTCGGAGGATCACCTTAGCCTTGTTTTCACACCAGAAAAAAACTTGGTGGTTCGTAATGAACTTATAAGAAGACTATTATCTGGAGTTATTGATGATGAACTTGAAAACTTGGTTCGAGTACGGGAAGAAGCAAGACGCCCTATTCTCACGCCTAGAAAAATGGGGGACAGGCAATTAATCCGTTATTTTGAGAATAATAATTTCTACAAACCACCAAGTCTTGGCCTGGGTCAAAGTTCATTGGCAATTTTGCTCTCACTTAATTCATTTGACTCCTAAGAGCCTGTTCCCGAGGCCAAAGACTTAGTGGTACCCTTGGAAAAGCGAACAATATCGTACCTTTCTGTCTCAGCCCGGATCAGGGTGATTGATCCGTTTAGCCAAATGAAACGAGAATATAATACGATACTTGACGATGCAGATTCTGCGAATCGTAATAACTTTGTCCCATCTCAGAGCTTTACATCATGCTCTCCGGGAAACTTTTCTCAAGGTGACCAATGTATAAAACAAAACTGCTAAACGGCACCGAAACCAGCTTGAGGCGCGCGCTGATTTTAAATAACTGTCACTTGTGTTAAAGAAAGAATTCTGGGTAGGGAAAAAAGATCAGGAGGGAAGGGGGGTGGTAAAATAGTAATTCTGTGTACATGCCCCTCTACACAAATCCGTAACCAGGAAACAAGCAAATTAAAAAAAAAAGACATAAGTAAGCAACACAGTAAACATATGTCAAACTATTAGACAGGCGAAGTTGGGAAAAATTACAAAATGTTTGCTAAATCGGTTTTCATAACTCCAGGTAGATATGAAGGGTTGAGAAAAGGACCCAAAAGGAAGGGTTAAAAAGCGAAATGCAGTTTTTATCCGTTCATACAGTTTTAAAACAAGGAAAAAGAGAGGGACAGTGCATTCAAAGCAGTTTGAAGGGATGCAAAGAAAAGCGACTTTTTGAGGGACACCATTTTTAATGGAAAGAACACGAAAGAGGACACCTTTTCAGTCATAAATGGTATATAAGTAGGTAATGGGTTCATTCCAGCTGGGGCAGTGACTCCCCGTATAAAACTTTGTTAGGTACCCCCTGTCGCTGAGCGTGTCAATGTTGCGTTTGATATGCTGATCTGGAAAACGAAGATATTTCAGTAAATCTGATCGTGTTCTTGTAACTAATTACGGAGATTTTAAGCATTTTCACCTACTCTCTTCTAACATTCCCCAGCACAGTAATCTTCCAATTTCATTGCGTAATAACAGAAAATCTAATGAGCTGATATGCAAATTTACCCTTTTGGGACTGAATAGTTGAATGGCCTTACTGCTAAATCTCCTGGCATCAATGAAGCTAACAAGGGATTGTGTCTCACGGGTTGTGCGCGTGCGGTGGTAGTGTGGGGTAGGAAGTCGGGGTGCGGAATTGGGGTTATGGATGTTACTGACGCTAAGTGTAAAAGACAACCGAAAGAAAAACAAAGTTTCAGTTAAATTTAATTCTAGGCCTAGACAGATTCTGGTCGGTGCCTTTTTAGCAACTTGTACGATTTTGAGCTACTTTTTCGATTCTGAGCAGCTTTTCGGAGAGTAAGCCACTCTCAAAGTTAGCACATTTTTGGCATATTTTCACTAAAATTACATTCATGAATAATTGATATTTCAACACATTTTCTTTGAAAATTCACAAGGAATTTCACTTGAAAATTTCTTGCCTTTTGATCGGTTGGGTATCATATGTTGATAGATTCCAAATATGGATGTCGCCAGATGTGACGCCATTTGCATAATGGCTGGGTATCCCATGATAATATTCCAAATATGGTACAAAAGTACGTACATTAAAGGCAGCACGCTGCAAGCCTCTGCTGTCTGTTTCAGGTTTAAGGATTAGGCCGAATGCTGTCTCACTGGAGAAGCTTAAGATGTTCTCTAGTAGTAGGGTAAATGGGGGTACTAAGACAGTTTCATATATTTGGTTGATATATGAACTTTTTTAGACTTGACCTTGGGAATCCAGTTTGAACCGGTTTTGGGTGGTTTGTCGAGGCTTAAAGAGATAGCGCTTTACTCTAGTATGCAGATGGTGCGTTCAAATGAAAATAATATAATATATAGTAATAGTATGAAGACTGATGGTAATGAACTTATAAGAAGATTATTATCTGGAGTTACTGATGATGAACTTGAAAACTTGGTTCCAGTACGGGAAGAAGCAAGACGCCCTATTCTCACGTCTAGAAAAATGGGGGTCAGGCAATTAATCTGTTATTTTGAGAATAATAATTTATACAAACCACCAAGACCAATTCCAGCTCCAAGAACAAAGAAACAACAACTACAGCAACAAACTCAACCAATTCCAGCTCCAAGAACTAAGATTACGGAAAGAAGTAAAGCTTTGAAGGGATATACAAAATCATATGACATAGCTATAAAAAAAGATAAAGATGTTTTAGAAAAATTACAAAATACGAGATTAGCAACCAGCCGATTTTTTGGGAAAATATTAAATCAAACTAAAGGTTTTAAATTTGTGGAGACTATAGTAGTCAACTTTGAAAAGTTAAAAAATGGTGAACCTGAGGAAGAGATGGCGTATTTTAATAGTAAGGCACTAATTGTAATGAATGTGAGTGATATCAAGCCAAGCCTAGAAATGTCACAGAGAAAAATAATGAATGATATTGCTGAGTGGTTGAAAGAAGGAAGCGGTTGGACTATTGATGGTGTTTTAGAGCATTATTTTAATGTGGTTAATTATAAACCATTAGAAGGTAAATCATATATACCTTTACCAAAAGAACTTCAAAACAACCTAAAAGGCTTGATTAACCTAAAAAATGAGAATAATGAGTGTTTCCGTTGGTGCCATATTAGACATTTGAATCCACAAGAGGTTCATCCAGAACGCATAAAAAAAAAAACAGGTAAGAAAATGGTTCAAGAATTGAATTACCAGGGAGTGGATTTTCCAGTAAGTTTGAAAGATTATAATAAAATTGAGGAACAAAATAATATCAATATAAATGTATTTGGATATGAAAACAAGCAATTTTACCCAATTTATGTATCTAAACAGTAAAATGAGGATATATTAAATCTTTTATTAATAACAAAGGATGAGAATAAACATTATGTATTAATAAAGGATTTCAATAGAATGATGTATAATAAGACAAAGCATAAGGAGAAAAAACAGTTTTGTACGTACTGCTTACAAAATTTTACAACAGAACAAATTCTTTTGAAACATAAGGACAACTGTATGGTTGTAAATGGAAAACAGGCAATAAGGATGCCACAAAAAGGTGAAAATGTAGTGCAGTTTAAAAACCACCAAAGACAGATGCCGGCTCCATTTGTGATGTATGCAAATTTTGAGGCGATTACAGAAAAGATGCAAGGATGTGAGCCAAATAAGAACAAATCATATACAGACACATATCAAAAACATACAAGCTGTAGTTATGGTTACAAAGTGGTTTGCTGTTATGATGATAAATATACAAAACCAATTCATATATATCGCGGTGAAAATCCAGTCAAGAATTTTTTGACTGATATGTTGAAAGAGGTGGAAGACTGCAGAAAAGAAATAAAAACAAAAATTTATGAAACCATTAAAAATGAGCAGTGAGGATGAAGAAAGTTTTAATGCTGCGAAAGAGTGCCATATGTGTGGTAAGATATATACTAATGAAGATATCCGCTTAAGAGATCATTGTCATATTACCAGTAAATATAGAGGGTCTGCACATTAAAAATGTAATCTGAAACTGAGAATCAGCCCTAAAAATTTTAGGCTGTCAGTAATTTTTCATAATCTCCGTGGATATGATAGTCATATGATTATGCAAGAAATTGGTGAAATTGGAATGAGATTTGATTTGAATATTAGTTGTATTCCAAATAACATGGAAAAATATATGGCACTCATGTTGGGTAAGCATTTGGTATTTTTGGATAGTTTTCAATTTATGTCAAGTAGTTTGGACCGACTGACAGCCAATCTTCCAGAAAATAAATTTAAATACACAAGTAGGGTATTTTAGAATGAACAATTAAAATTGATGAGACAGAAGGGTGTGTATGCGTATGACTATATTGATTCTTTTGAGAGATTTAATGAGACCAAACTGCCAAGCAAAAATGATTTTTTTAGCCAGTTAACCCAAGATGCCATAACAGATGAACAACACTGTCATGACACAAAAGTTTGAGAAACATTTAATTTACAGGCTATGGTGATTACCATGATTTATACCTGAAGTCTGATATTCTACTATTGTCAGATGTTTTTGAGAATTTCATAAGTACATGTTTGCAGTATTATAAATTAGACCCATGTCACTATTATACATCACCAGGATTGAGTTGGGATGCAATGTTAAAAATGGCAGGCATAAAATTGGAGTTAATGACTGAAATTGACATGTTCCAGTTTATAGAAAAAGGTACACGTGGAGGTATTTCATATATCGCCAACCGATTTGGGGAGGCAAATGATAAATACATGAAAGAGTACAACAAAGAAAAACCCAGCAAGTATATTATGTATCTAGACGCTAATAATTTACATGGTTACGCGATGAGACAGTATCTTCCAACAGGTGCATTTAAATGGCTAACAGAAAAGCAAATTGATAAGATTATGAAGAAAACAATATTACCTAATAATAAAAAAGGATATATACTTGAAGTTGATTTGGAATACCCTGAAGAATTACATGAGCTGCATAATGATTATCCTTTAGCTGCAGAAAAAAATGAAGGTAACAAAAGAGATGCTTTCACCATACTGTAAAACTATCCAGGAGAAGTTTGGAGTAACAAGAGGGCAGGTAGTCAAATTAACCTCAACATTAACAGAAAAGAAGAATTATGTATTACACCACAGGAATTTAGAACTTTATCTATCACTAGGTCTAAAACTGAAAAAATTCCACGGAGTATTAGAATTTGATCAGAGCTAATGGTTGAGACAATACATGGATTTCAATACACAGAAGCGTGCGGGTGCAAAAAATGCTTTTGAAAAGGACTTTTTCAAGCTTATGAATAACAGTATTTATGGCAAAACTTGTGAAAATTTAAGAAAGCGTGTTGATGTAAGATTGGTCACTGATCAAAAAAATTTATCTACACTTACAAGCAAGCCAACATATGTTAACAGTAAAATATTCACTGAGGACCTTGTTGCGGTTCATAAAATCAAAGAATCACTAAAACTCGATAGACCAGCTTATGTTGGAATGCGTATTTTAGATCTTCCAAAGACACTCATGTATGATTTTCATTATAATTACATTAAAACGAGATACAATAACAAGGCTAAATTATTATTTATAGATACAGACAGCCTTTGTTATGAGATTGAGACAAAGGATATTTATAAGGACTTATGGGAGGACAAACAATTATTTGACAACAGTAATTACCCAAAGGATAGTCCATATTTTAGTGTGGAGAATAAGAAAGTTATCGGCAAATTTAAAGATGAGGCAGCTGGTATGCCAATCAGAGAATTTATTGGTCTCAGAAGTAGGATGTATTCTTATGTGAAAGATAATGGTAAAAATGAAAAGAACGCTAAGGGGGTCAGAAAATATGTTATCAAAAAGAATATCACATATGACAATTATAAAGATTGCTTACTGAATGGGAAGCAAATGTTACATAGTATGCGCACAATTAGGAGTGACCATCATCAAATTGGAAGCTACCTCTTAAATAAAATTAGTTTGAGCTGCTTTGATGATAAAAGATATATCCATGAGGATGGAATGCACAGTTATGCTTACGGTCACTATAAAATAGGGGCTTCCCCGACGAAATAAGTCATCACAACATTCTGGAAGGTTATTCTCTTAACCAAAGAGATGCTACGCATTTCAGCTACGAAATTGTGAAATGTTTCAGTGAAATATTTCATTTTTGCGTATTCGCTGTGCCTAAACTATCTAGGTCATTAGAATGTTCTGGAAGATTATTCTCTCAGCCAATCAAATGATTGCACAAAATGTTCGTAAGACTGTAGAAAATTCTGTGAAACTATAATCATTTGTGAAGTTGAGTGATCCAAGATCCAAGATCCAAGATCCAGATCCAAGACCCTGGTAAGTCCAAGCGGTATTTTTGTTGCGATTCTATGAGTCTGATAACAGATAAACTTCTTGTGTGTAAGAATTGTGGCCAAGTACATGATTATTTAACAGCAGACGATCGAGTATGTGGATTTTTATGAAAATAGACACAAAATGAAAAGAAAGTCTGTATACCACAGAAAATATCATATTTTGAATGTCATCAATGATATTGCACAAAATAATAATACACAAGTTGGTTATTATAATAGAGAGAAGATTCTGAGAATATTTCGGTTGATTGACCAAGTTACACCGGAAGTCAATAATTTTGGCCGAAAACGGCTTATCAGTGTAAATTTTATTATTAAACAACTATTTGACATTTTAGGAGTAGAATACAAGATTATTCCCCTTACTCGGTCAAAAAATACACTACGATATTATAAAAATTGGTTGGAGAGAGTTTATTCCTTAATCAAGGCCGATATCAAGCGTCTGATTTATCAGAATTTGAACCGGAAGTAGGAGAAGCCCCCATTACTCATTGAGTGAGAGACCCTGGGGACGAGGTTGTGTATCGGGTTAACTTATACGAAGTACTATCCAGACTAAGGCGTCCGCCATCTTGTTTTACCAGGAGCCCATCAAATGGAGCCTCCATCTCCCATACAAGCCCTTGGAGTCAACCCTTTCCCGAGTAGATTTATAATTAGAACGGTTCCCAAGGGAGACTTCGCGCGCCGACGTTGGGAAGAGCCAATCACAACCACGAAATGACACTGCTATTGTACTTAATCAAACAGCAGGAAATTCGGTGTTGACAGGCCAAACACAATCATGAGCTAGTGAAACGTGACTTAAGCGTTTTCATCCCTCAGAGATTTTCCTTTTTTTCTTTCTAGCGGGTAGATTATACTGTGGAAAGTTTCAAACTCTGACTATGTTAATCTTAATTTTGGTTGCTTGTGTAACATTAAGAGGCCATGTAGGTGGCCTATTACATGCATAATGATTAACTACTACCTGCAGTCTGTAGTTCTGACAGGATTCGTTTTCTTTAGCCAATTTTTTTGAGCGTCAAGGTTCTTATTTCGGCTAAATGACTCTATATTAATTAAATTTCTAGTTTTTCAAGGGTTTTTTTTTTTCCGAAATGCGTTTATCTGAATAAATACTTGTAGTCCTTGTGGTTGTTTTGTCCATCAGCTAGTGTGATGATTCCCTGCTATGTTTTGTAACGCCGGGCCCAGCCATTGTTTTCTCGCAAAAAAGTGATCTACAGATGCGAATTCGAAGGAAGGAATTGAGCCTAAACTTCTACATTGACCGCTGAAAATTGTCCTGTTCGTCAACCTTAATTCTTTTGGCGCAGATACAATCCATTTTGTTTTTCTTGAGATAAGTGGGTCTTTGGACTGGAGCGCGATGTCACAAATTCCTCCATTAGCAAATTACGGTTGAGTTAACTTCACGATCGAGCAACTGTTGTCTTCTGTTCAAATTTTCAAGCGCTAGTTTTATCAGGCAACTCTCATGGTGATACAAGTCAGTTGTATAGGAAGACCGCAATTTCTCAAATTTCGGAACTGAAGCATTCCTCGTTACTTGCTACTTAGGTCATCGCTTTTGCACGCGGTGCTTAACTGGCGAAATTCACTCCTCGGTGATGACAAAAATCATATGATCCTGGCACTTTTTCGTCGCTGATCATCGAAAAGTTTCAAATCGTCCACAGAACGTTTAATCGTCGACTCTTTTCAAGATGCATGCTTAAATGTGGGATGTATGACGGCAAAAAAAAAAAAACACTCGCAAAGATAACCTTTCCGTGATCCTCAGTTCGCTGCCTTTGTCCCATCGCTTCATGCTCAGTCTCAGTCGGGTAATTCATTAACTTTTATTTCATGATATCCAGATCCCAGCGGCTGTAAAATTGTAAAAACGGACGTAAAGGAATAAAGGAAAACGGTCGAAAGACGGGCTTCTGAGTTCGACTTCACCCAATTTTATTTTTTCACCGTGACATACGAGACTCACGGAAATATGACACTTTTCGCGGGAAACTAGCCGTTCTATTTATAAATCTACTCGGGAAAGGGTTGACTCAAGAAATTAATGGAGATGGAGGCTCCATTTGATGGGCTCCTGGTTTTACTCGATAGAGAAACATTCAAGCAGTTTCTGTTGGACGGGAGAGGAATTTTTTAGCGTACTGCTTTTCAAACCTTGTTACTAATGGAGCAAAATCTACGATTGTATCATCTAGTATATTTAGTTCCTTCAGGAAATCGTTTTTATCAAATGGCCCCCCTCGTAAAGCGGTGCGGAGGTCCAATAATATTTTCTGGTAAGTATTGTAAGCAAATTTAGCCATCTATATTTTTCTCGCGTAGTTTTTCGTGTGAGAAAACGTTTTTAGAACTAAACCAGCACCTGATATGCTTCCTAGAATGGCTGGGCTGGCCGTCAAACCACCAACAACAGTCCCGATTACTATCAACCCAGTTGAGGACATGTTTAATAGGACATTCAGCTTCTTAAAGTATTTGTACAATTTTGGTGACACCAAAATTTATAATGATAAAACTTGTACAGCTCTTTAATCTCCTGGATCTCTTCTTTTGTTTTGCTTTTATCGATATGATTAAAGTGAAATATATTTTCCTTCTGACTCATTATCAATAGTTTAGATTATTTATAGAACATAAGAACCGTTCAATTTTTCTTGCAACAATATTCTATGAAATTGTTCAGAATCCAGGGCATAAAAATTTGGAGAGTACATTACTCTATAGATCACTGCATCCTCTGAGAATATTTCGAATGTGTAGTTACCTTCAGAAACTAAACCTGAAATTAGTGTTGGTGTTGCAGAATGATTGGATATTGAGGCTTTTACTGTTGGATTACCAACAGTACCCGGCGTTACACAATATATCCCACCATATTTAGTCAGCCAAAACACAACTCGTTTACCATTGAGACTGTTTAGTAGAGTGATGGAAGCTTCAGCATCACTATCTGGTATGTTTGTACTTTATGATAAGTTTGCAGTGTTAATTTTTTTGTTGTTTTGTCATAAATCAAATTGAGTCTTTGCGTGTTTACAAAAGTTTTCACATACGTTTTTATGCTCATTGATCTGTTCATCCATAATTGCATTACAACACAAATAGTAAAGTTCCATTTACTGTATAATGATAGACTCATTGTTTTATTATTTAATCTCAATCCGTCCTCCCGAATATTTGCAATATCCATACTGGGAAATGTTATATTAGGATTTACGTCCGTAAAAGTCATACCTGATGCTCCTAATGTTAGTTTATAGTTACTAGCATCACTGAAATCATAAAATTCTTCAAATAATTCCCTATACACATTATTCTTTGTAAAAGGGCCTAGTTTTGACTCCAAATCTTTGACCATTTTCACGGTTGCTGCACTATTGCCAATGTTTTTATCCAAAGCAATATTCAGTATCTTTTTCCTGTTCATATCTATGGGCAGGTTATAAACAACTTCTGTTGGTTTGATATGAAACGCTGTGTGGTAATCATAAGTTTTTTGGGGATCAATCGATGACACTTTGAAAACCAGGGTTCTCAATAGGTTTTTAAGTAGGAGGTGATCACTGATAAAGTAGGAGGCTCTTCAGCAAAGCCAGAGGTGTCAAAGCAAACCATCTAAGGTCCCTGTCCGGAATATTCCTAGGATGCATGCCTATACCTGTATAAAGCATTATCTGAAGCTGAGAAGTACAATAAAGTTACTAGCCTTACCGTTGCTGATGTTTCCATGTTCTATTTTGAAATGGAAGTTAGTCAAACTCAGGGTCGGAATAAAAGTCAGAATCACATTCACTATCTTCCCAAGATGGACCCAGTGCCAATATCACATCACTTTCATCAGAAATGGATTGTTGATCGAGAAAAGAATCCTCCAGAGTACTCTCTGTCTCAAAAGCTTGTCTGATAAGCTGAATCAACTGAATGTGGAACTGCCACAAAAACAGTTGATTCTGTTTCAACAGGAACTTTAGGAGGGAGTTTCCTTCTGTTTTTCTTGTTATTCCACAGAAGAACAGCTGATTCAATCAATTCATTACATTCAGGAGAATAAAGGTCAGGGCCATTGATTGAGATTAGCATCAAAGTATTAAGCATGTCAACCTTTATTCGGCTTCTGAGCCTTGTCTTCAACCTCTTTAAACAGCTAGCCCCTCTCTCTGGCCAGACATTTGGAATTTATCTTTTTTTCCATGAAATAAACTTACATCTAAATTGCTAACACTTGGACAATTTTGCTCAAGGCAGTGATAATATGAATGACGTGCACAAGAAATTTCATCAACAAAGTCAAAAGTATCAGAGATTAACTTTCTCATCTCACATGGTTCTATAACAGGCTTGGATAAAACTGGGTTTGGTAAAGAACAACCACTGCTTGAGAAAGGTCGAGAAATGCTTGAGGAAGAACTTTCCATGCTTGGGGAACCGGCAGCACAAGAAGAACTGTAAGTACTTGAAGGCTCACCACATTCTTCAACATTTGTTGGGCTTGGCGGGGGCTCTGGTTCTATGCCTGAGAAATAAAAGGCTGTCAGGCTAGTTCCAGGAAATGAAAACAACTATAATGCCAGTGATGAAAAAACTGAAAAACTTTATTTATAGTACATGACGTTGTAAGACCTTGACGGCTTATCACATTTAAACACTGACATCGTGCCTCATGTGGATTCATGTGCGGCTTTCAGAGTGATAAAAAATTTGTCCTAGCAATTAAGGAATTAAAATAAATATTTCAATATCAAGGCATAGTGAAATTTTAAACTTACTTTTAGCTTTCTTTGATCCGCTTTGCGAGAAGCCAAAGAAACTAGTAAGTTCTTTCTGCACCGCGTGGCGACGCTTGGCCGCCATTTTGGAACATACGTACTCATTACAATGTTCTACCGTGAAGGCCTGGACTCTAGTAAAATGGCGTTCATCGATCCGGTTTTGTTTGGATCACAGTCGTGCAAGAAACGAAAGAGCGATTCGAAAACAACTCAAGCAAACTTGCAGAGGAAACAAAACAAAGCAAAGAAAAGCGACTTAAACACAAAGTAGGCGGCGATCAATCGCCGGGTGCCGCCTTCTATTGAGAACCCTGGAAAACACCATAAGCGATGATCCAGGTTTTTGTCCAATTTGTTGGATATGTATTGAGATCAATACCCGCTTGGGGTATATTAACATAAAGGTGAAGACTGTAAATTAGACTTGATACAGTTTTTTGAAAGTTTACAATTATTTTGGTATAATACACATACTTTAAACTCCCACTATTATCTGTGTACTGGTGAGAAAACTTATGTACCGTAAAACTAGCAATTTTTTTCGCCTCGTGATGTGGTTTTATCAATTGTAGCAACCGATTTATGCCATAATTGGTAATCTGAATTGAGGATTTCAATACAGGGAGTATAATCTATATCCTTTTTAAGTTGCTAACAATTGGTTCCCATTTTGTAAGAATATCCTCCTTGCTGATCTTTTATAATAGTTGTCTATAGAACTTTGTGGTTGTATTGGTGGTAGTTACCATCTTGGGGAATTAAATTATCAATTTTGGTAATGTTAAAACTATCCGGCTGAAGATCAGTCCATGTTAATTTATCAGTCATCAGGTACTAGAATTCATTATTGTAATGGATGGGTTTCATAATGTGTGTGTTTAGTGTTTGCAAATTGACACCATCAGTAGTATTTATGGGATCGGCTAGATTGGTTATTTTTTTGTTTCCCATATTCAGATCACCAATCATAGAATTAGTGCCCGCCTTCTGTAAAAATTTATTATTAGACCAACCTATAGTCGCTGCTTCACTAGAATATTCATATCCACTCTGTACCACACCAACTAAAGTAGCATTGTTAACCTGAAATTGGTTACTTCTGATTCTAGACCCAAGTTGGGTATATTTATTGAAGAATTCAAAGTCCACTGCATCTCCAATTGCTGTTGCTGTTGCAAGATTAGTAATTTTATTATTGGACATATTTCGTGGACCGGCCATAACTCCATTGGACTTATCCAGGAATTTATTTTGGTTGTGCCACATTGTGTATCCTATTATTATTCATATCCAAATTGCCGGTCATTAAAACACCAGAAAGTGATAGTTTATTACCCACAGCTGTATCCAGTTGATTTTTTGTTATGGCATCGCTGGAAGTAGTTCCCTTGGCCATATTTGTCAGCTTTTTGTTTGTCATATCATAATTCCCATCTGATGTGAGACTAAAACCAGTGCCTGATTCACCAGTAGCACCTTTAGGGCCAGTAGGGCCAATAGGGCCTCGAGGGTCAGGAATACCCTGAGCACCAGGCGGGCCAGGAGGTCCTTGAGGGCCAGTAATTCCGCGTTTTCCTTTTGAGTATGATTGATTATAATTGGGTTGCTGATTAAAAATTCCCATGTTCTAACAATACATTATATATTGCCATAAAAGTTTCTTTTGACAGTCTTCATTGGTTTATCCACATACAGGAATGAGTATGGTTGTTTGGTGGCTTTAATGTACAGCCACAGACATTCAGCTCTTTAGAGATCCATGAGGAGCTTTGCTCAAGAAAAAAAATCTCAGCAGGCGCCGTAAATTGATGCCCTGGTACGCGATAGAAAGGTGTTTGCTTGGTGTCATAAAATTAATTAAGACCGGAACATAATAAGTAAACCAGATGCCAAGTATCCGCGAGAGACGCGTCGTTTGAGCGCGAGGCAATGCGAGGAGCCAGCATCCCACGCAACGGTTTTTTTGCGGCGTGACCTTTCTGTTTAAAATGAAAAAGATTTTGATCATTCGAAATGTATCTTCTTAAAAATAAAAGCTCGCTTCATCTACCCGTAGAAAGTAATTTACATGAATTTAGACTTACTGTTGGTCTGTAAAACCGATAAACAAATCCAGATCGGACTGCCGGTGATTTGGACGGGGCACGCCAGGCTTAAAAGACATTAGGTTAAAGCATTTTATATTTCCTTTGTCACTTTGATAAAATTTTTGAAGGAGCGACCCATATTTCATGTGGAAATATTACATACTCGAGTGCCGGAGTTCCCTCTTGAGACATGACGTGACGTGTGTGACACTGAAAGCGCCGCAAAAACTCGTTTTCAGTGCCGCTCAAATGAATGGACGGCAGCATACAGGTACGATTTTTTTTGTTTTTGAGGGTCAGGCAGCGATCATGCGATGTAAACGAGTTAAATTCTTACTAATTAATTAATATTCTACCTTACACTTTCAAAGTTCAAAAGCGCTGTGGTTTTTATTTCGAAACCATTTGAAGTGAAGGCGACCGTCGACGGTATGAGTCTTCGTTTCCCATTCTGAGTCTGTCGAGGGTTACAACCCCCAAAAGCATTGGCATGGACTCAAAAAAGAAATATGTGGAGTCTGTCCGACGGGTTTTTCCAAAAAAGAAATATTTAGGAGATTTCTTGACGAAAGACGTGGCAGCGCGGGAACTTGAACCCGACAAATCGGCCTATGCCGCAGCGGAATTCAACATGATGCCAGCTACTGTGAACGTCGCTTCCACGTCCGTTTGATCACTGGTCTTCTTCGCCAGAAAAGCATTCCACCGGATGGCCTTGTAAATTCTGTTTTTCTTTAAGGTAGAGGTCAGACTAAAACGGACTTAAGTTACATATTAGTGATATTAGACTTGAGGTAAGTTTGTTTTTAGTCAAATTATTCCCAATACAGTGAGGTATTTCTGTTTTCTGGTCACTTCAATTTAAAGAAAATATTTAGCTTCAGTTATTATTCTGTTTCTCTTGGGTAGTCAGTTTATTTATGGGCTTTTGTTATCTAATGGCAAAATCTATTTTTATCATTATAATGTACTAACTGGTTTTGTTTCTCTTGGGTAGTCGGTTCATTTCATGGGCTGTTGTTATCTGATAACAGGACCTAATTTTTACCATAGTTTTCATAGTTTTCATTTTGTACTAACTGGTTCTGTTTCTCTTGGGTAGTCAGTTCATTTGTGGACTGTTGTTATCTGATGACAGGACCTAATTTTCATCATTTTCAATTTGTACTAACTGGTTCTGTTTCTCTTGGGTAGTCAGTTCATTTGTGGACTGTTGTTATCTGATGACAGGACCTAATTTTTATCATTTTCATTTTGTACTAACTGGTTCTGTTTCTCTTGGGTGGTCATTTCATTTATGGGCTATTGTTACCTGATGACGGATTATTATTATTATTGTTATTGCTATTATTATTTGAGCTTTGCGTTAGATCGCACGGTTTATTATTTCAGAATGAAGTCGCTATTAAAATGAAGCTGTTATAAGTCGGTTGTAGCTACTGATGTCCAAGAATTCCAAATGTTCCTGTTTCGGGGATCGTAGTTTCTCTGGGATTAAATCATTCTCATTGAGTAAACATTAATTTATCACAGGTAAGTAAATGTACTTAGTTTATAACATCGAACCTCGTTGCTGACGCCGTTTTGTGTAATGTTCCTCCCGACTACACAGTTAGACAGAAGATAGTATACTGTTCGATCGACATAATTGCAAATAATTTCGTTCCTTCCGTAAGAATAGATTATAGGCCGTCATTAAAATGTTTCTCGGGTGGTAAACTTTAGCTTCTCGTAATATTTTCTGAGTCGGCAAAGGGTTTATGTTTCATTTCCATTTTCTCTTTAGTAACAGATATAAACCCCGCTCTCGTTAAGGTTTGGTTATTGATCTTCGATTATCCCATTCGAGTTAATTTTTCTTGCTATCGCCTTTCATAATTATGATTGTGCAATCAATAAGGAGCGGGATTTTTTTTACAGTAGAGCCATGCCTTGAATACTATTTCGCGTGAAAAGTAACAGTTGACGTGTGTCTCCACGCGAGTAAAGCCAACAAATGCGCGTCCGTATCTGGAAAACCTTTTTATTATGTCAAGAAATGTCTTATTTACACGTCTCGTGATTCCCACGCCGGGTGTTTTTGGATGTCGGTAAGTGCGAAAAAGTAATTACCGAGGATTCCAAAGTAACACCTCAGTCGTATGAAGGCGCGAATTGTGATCTCCCGTTTCAGTTAATCATAAGCCATGGGTAGATTCAATCTACCCTTAGCCTAATTTGCATAATTGTTTTGGTGAGCAAAGCCCGTCATGTATTTCTTTCATTACTACTACGGAAATCATAAACAACATAATGACTGCAGTTTAGTCTGATATCTTTCGGAGTTTTATAAAATGATTGTGAAAGGTAAATTACACTGCAGTTCTTATGGCGGCCTTGAATGAAATAAACGATAAGCGGTTTTTGATTTTTATCACAAATGAAGTCGTCGAATATTACAATTTTCTGGGCATCGCCCTCCAGACTATTGACAGGTTTTATATCATCATTATTGCAGTGCATTATGTCATATCCAACCTGGCCACTAAAATCATTCATTGTTTCTATCATGTGTCGATACTTTTCCTGTTCAAGGTTTTTGCCGTATAAATGGATCTGGTCATAGTAGACTAATGGTTTCATAAGGATGTGATAAAGTAGGTTTGTTTTACCTGACCCTGAATTTCCACATATCAGCATCCTAAAATTGGACTTGGGCATGTACTTGTACAGCTGTTTAAAGTTTGTATTTTCGTCTTCATTGAAATCATAATTTGGAATCTCCATTATACTATTGTGTTAGGTAACTTAAGATAAGTTGAGATAAGTTTTGTATAACACAATAGTATAATGGATATCGAAATATTCAAGAGACTCAGTATCCCTAAAATTGAAGCAGGAAAAATGACTGAAGTTGTTAGGGATGTTATAAAAGAAGTTAAAACTAGAGATCAGGATGTATTTGAAAAGGTGGCTAAAGACCTGAAACCTGTAACGGAAAAATTTGACAAGGAGATAGAGGAGATTAGTAAATTGAGAGAAGATGTTAAAAAACAAGTTGTCCATATGCTGAGCAAGTTCAAAGATTAGCATTACTGGGTCCAAGTGGTGAGGTGGCACCCAAGATGGCAGCTGATATGAATAAGGGATTCACTCAAGAAGAATTGGCATTCATACAAAACCAGAAATTGCCATTACCAGCTGACATTTTTTTTGCAAACCTTAAAAGAACCAAATTATGCGAAACAAATATGAGCTAAATCTGGTGAAATAAATAACGAATTAGGTCGGAAAAAAGCCAATTTAATCATAACAAAAACTGGCACAAAGAGAAATAGGGGTGAAATTGTCGAGTATACTGAAGGAATTGACGTTATGAAAAAATACAGACAAAGAATTGGTATTTTAGAGGAAGGCGCAAAGACATTGAAAGTTGGTCAGGGTATTTATTCACAAAAAAAGAGGAATGCTTATAAGGTTAACCCACAAACTGGTGTTTATGGAAATGTAAACATTGATGTGCCCGAACTTTATGGACAACTCAAACGAATTGGTCATAAGGATGGTAAGAAAGTATATGATAAGCAAGTGGACTTTGATACACTTTATCTGCTCACAAAGCGGTTCAACAGTAAAAAGAAGTATTCGCCATTATCAAAAATGGTATTTGATGCATTAAACAGGATAAGTGATATTCCAATTCACCGAACCAGTAATAAGTACAAAAAAATCGGCTTGGGGGTTGGTTATTATAATAATCCAGCTGACCTATTGGACAAATTGGAATTATTAGGTGGATCAATACTGGCTGGAAATAATGGTGTGAAAAATGAATTTTCCAAAATTGCTCACACACTGAACAGATTAGGTGTTCTAAATAACAATCAGCTTAATAGTCTGTTGAAGGAATATGTAATCTAATAATATAAATGCAAGAAAGAGCAATCCGTATATCATCTGTTGATAGGCAGAAAATCGGCCGGAATAAAGCAGAGGATTTTATAATCAAATTCGATCCAGTGTTAAAACTCCAAAATAATATGACACATGAAATAGCCTTGGATAAGGCCACTATGACTTACAGTTGGCACAATATTTCAGATCAGTATCAAAATAATCAAATAAAATACTCCCATGATGGTGGCACATCCTGGCAAACCGTCCAATTTGTGGATGGAATGTATACTTACTCAGACCTAAGTGACTATCTCCATCAGTACATGAAAAAGAAAGGCCATCTTACCACCGACGATAAAACTAGGGATAAATACCATATTAACCTAACATTTGTATTGTCAACCTACAAGATTCTCATTCAGATTGACAGCAACTACCAACTGGACCTGAGAAACAGTAAATTTGGGGAGTTGATTGGGTTCACAGAAAAGATTGTCAATAAAACAGAATATGGGACAATTCTTCCCAATATCACAAATTCCATTGATAGCGAAGCTCTCGCGCGCGCGAAGCGCGCGCACAGCGGAGCACCATGGGTAAGAAAACTTGGTAAACTATCCATCCGAGAAAATTTGGTTATGACGTAGCGTACGCCCACCCGTACACACAATTCATGTAAGCCGATGCCAAATGTCACAATAGATCTTGCACAACTTGACTAGCCTCTTGGTTATGTAAACCATCCGTATGAGTACGATTAGATTGACAGCTGTCAAAATCAGACATCCGCTGACAATTATCACATGACCATCTCGCTGGCTCAGATGAAAGACCAGCCGTTTTGCCCCTACATATAAGCTGATGTAATATGTCACACTTACCAATTCAACATAAAAACGAAACTACGCCGGGCAAGGCTGTCAGCTGGCTGACAGTCGCTTAAAGTTATATTGGCAAGCCAAATTAAGTTCAATTGACAGCTGTCAAAATAAGACACGTGCAGACCACTATCAAAGGACGTGATAACGTAATAATAATAACGTGGGCTCAGGTTCGCTCAGGTACACGATCTGGCATTTTCCACTACATACCGGACGGATATGTCTTACTCACACTCGTAGTCTGTTAATTCGAATATTCGCCATTCTAATGGAGGTTAATTGACAGCTGTCAAACTAGAGTATACGCTGACCATCATCATCTGAGTGTATCGCGGGCTCATTTTTTATCCATTCAGGTTAATTTAGTGTTTAAAGTTTTGCGCTGATATTTTATTTGATCACGGGCTCAATTCGAAGCCCCATAGCGGCATAGCTTAGAAAATCTATCCATCCTAGAAAATTCGGCACAGGCACCTCAGGCCTACCAATGTTTAATCTCACACTTTCTAGCTAGTTTGGGAGCCTGCAACCTGATTTTGTACATCCATGTTGTGATTAATTGACAGTTGTCAAAGTAATGTTTCTGCTGACCAGTATCGCCTAACCGTATCGCGGGCTCAGGTATCGACCCACTGAGTTCGGGTGTTTTATTGAAGGCATCCGCTGACAAGTTACTATTTTTTAAATGATCGCAGGTTCGAGTTCAATTTTTTTAAAATGCATATGAAATAAGTCGTGTTCATGAGCTGCATTTTTAAAATGTTGATTTCGAACTGACCTCGGACACGAAAATTCAACCGGCTTTTATATTTACATGCCGGGAAAGCAATCGCTTTTGACTTTTCTCACTGTCACGCGTTGATCACGCTCTACGTCCAATTTTTATGCTCTGATTGGTCAAAATTTGACAGGTGAGTTCATGCGGAAAATTTATGCAGCGTCTGGAAACTTGCTTACCGGAGCTGGAGCTGACAGAGTTTTGTGACATCTTGTCATGTTTTAAAATGTTCCGGAGATTATTTAGTTATGATTTTGGCTGTAAACAGAAGGCTCTGAGCGATTTTCTTTCCTCGAGTTCATCTTGAAAAAGAGGAAACACCGGGAAGCCGGCTTAAAACATAAATATGCCTATGCGTACCTGACTCATGATTCTCAGACACTTTACTCTCAATACGTCTATTCGTGAATGAAAATTATTGTCTCTGTACATGTTTCACCGAATTATATTTATTTTATTGATTGTTAGTAGTCCCTCCCGCAATTTTTATCACTGCACCGGTTGTTTCTGGTCGAACATGAACATCGCATGCAGGAATACTCAAAACGCCGCGCGTAAATATCACTTGCTTTTAAAGATTACACATGACAAAACCATACGCAGTTTAATAAATAAAGGGAAATAAAACCTAAACATAACAATTTCTCTATCATGTTGAAGCGTAAATGGTAACTCTATTAATCGCACTGCAAATTTGGTGCCTGTCAAAAGTGAGAACCCGTTCGGCTGGCCGAAAAGTGATTTTGGGAATTTTTTTATCGTTTTCATTAAAAGCCCATAATTATTACCCTGCATATCACATAGGACCAGATTTTTCTAACTGAAAAGTCCCGGCATTATAGAATTCTCTTCATGAAAATGTTTTATAATTCAATGCTATAATTTGTTGGCAAAGGAAGCGCGTGCCTTGATTGTCGTGGATTTTGAATGAGTGCAAATTCTCTTGCAAAATTGTGAAAAACTGCAGAATTATAGGTTTCATAGGGCAAAAAAGAACAAATTCTGTCCGAAGTCTGTATGATAAAAAAGAGCCTCATAGTACTGTTTACCTGAGACGTGATGAGGAAAAGTATGTTTAAAAGGCTGGTTCACACGCCACCAGATTCGTCGTCAAGATTTACTGGTAAACTAAACTTGTCGAACACAAAAAATCCGGCCTGATTTTTTATTTTGGCCTCTCTTTTAGACAGAGGAATGCAACGTGTAAATTGGCTGCCACCAAGGACTATCGTTGCGCGTGTGTTTCTTAAAATTATATTTCGGGGTTGACCAATTATCCATAGTCACTGCATACTCTCTCTAACGGAGCAATGTTGGAGAGCAGTGAATGCCACATTTATGATGCAACAACTAATGCAGTAATACACGAATAGGTCTATTTGTTTTCCAGGCCTAATCTACTCTGATCGAACATGATTGCTTTTTTTGGATTTACAAATAAGACTATTAACTCGATGTAAAATTAAATTTGTTTCACTCTTGGACTGTCAAATTATTTTTCTCTAAAATCACTTAGCCTTTGCCTCAAAAGTCACATGAATGTTCCCTGATCTGTGGATTACAAGTTTATTGTTCGATTTAAATTATGAATTTATTAACGGGAGCTTCGCTTTTAGCCCTGGCTAAATCTATATATTATGATCTATATTAACACAGATGCCATTACGAACAGCATATTGAACGGTGTTAATACTAATACTCTAACTGTTATTCCAACTGACAATTTAACAAGAATCTTTCCATTTACATTTGAACCCAGAAATTGAATATCAGTGAATATCAGTCAAATGAGATTTGACTCACTAGGACGACCAATTGGTCTAAATAAGATCGACTGGTTTATGACCTTAATATTACGATCTAAACCAGCAAAATATCTAACTTGATAACATACATGAAATAATCAGAATTCAAGAAACGTTATGATGTCAAAATGGAAAGATATGTTAAGAAGCACATTTATGAGGAAGGTGTTACCGATGTTTTCAAAACGATCGGCAGAAAGTTGTTTGGAAAGACGGCAAAACAAGTTGCTAAAGCAGCAACCAAAAAATCCGTTAAGACTGCTGCTACTAAGACTGGTGAATACGCGGGCGAAAAAGCGGGCGATAAAATTAGTCAGTTATTAAGCAAAAAGAATAAAAACAAAAAAACACCAGCAGCGTCATCACCGATAGAAAATCCACAAAAGGAGCTCACCGATTACGAGATTAATGAAAAAGCAAATCAGTTATTATCGGGTGGACGAATGAGAAGATTTATCTAATATATTAATATATGAAATCGTTTAGGGATCCAAAATATGTTGAACGATATGAAGATGTTATTTTTGACCTAGAAACAGCACTAAATACAACTGTTGCCACTATTGCTAACCAGAAAAAGGATGGCTATAGGTTTGTTGTTGATAACAGCAGAGAGGTTACACCATTCGACTGGTATAATGTTCGAATCAGTCTTGATTTTAAAGTAGTCTTGCTGGCTAATGGAGGTAATATTGCATTAGCAGATCATAATGGAATTGTAAACGGGTCGTACTCATTCTTGAAACATTTTGATATTAATCTCAATGTAAGAAAGTGTATGATTGTAATGACGCAAATCATGCGGTTAATATCAAGAATTTACTTGACTACAGTCCGGCATACGCCGATAAGACAGTAAGTAATGAGTTTTTCTTCCTTGATACATCCAGAGATGCAGAAAAGCGGGAATTTGAAATTAGCAGTGCAAATCAGTTAGCCAAAAGAAGAGCAGCTTAAAATAAGGGTTTTGCTCTTCGGAAAGCACTCCTAGGTACCTCATCTACAGTAAAAACTGAAATACCACTGAATAGATACTCGTTTTTCGGAATGTTAGAGGATGAGCTGTTACCTAATACAAGGGTTGAAATGAATTTTGAAATTGAGTCAGATGATAACCTAATTTGGCAAGCCGGGACTGGTTGCAGATTGGTTATCACTAGGATGCAATTGTATGTTCCGCGAATAACCTTTAACAGTGAGTGCCAATCATCCCACATGAGTCAATACCTTAAAAATCACAAGTGGACTTACTTGAGAGAGAATATCGAAAGATCAAATAGTAGTCGGCAGAGAGCTGGCCATTTTAGGATCTCAACTGGTATCTCAAAACCTCGACACGTACTTGTATTCATAATCAATGATGCGAATATCGATGCCCTGACAGCTAATCCATTCTTGTACAATACATTCTCTGTCTCAACTGACCCAAGGACCTTATCCAATTGTCACCTGGAAGTCGGAAATGGAAACGAATACCCCGAAATACATTACACACTAACTGCTGATATGAATAGAGTTTTCAGGGATGTTCTGAAATATGTCCATAAAAATGAATATGGTGAAGGGTCATTACTCAATAAATCTAATTTTAGTACCCTGTTTCCCTTCCTCTATTTCGACCTAACAAAACAGAAAATGGATATTAAGAACAGCACCACAAAACTGACATTCAAATATGAGCTATCTGGAATAACGGCAACAGCATACTCAGTTTATGCATTGACTCTCTACGAGCAGAATGTTGAACTAATTCAGAAGGATGGTAAAATAATACTTAGATCGTAAATTGAATATGATTAAAATTATGTAACATATATTATATACAAGTGATGACGAAATATTATCCTTATGGTGTGTCACTTAGTGAGGGACAATTGGAAAAGCTTTCGTGAGCTTACAATAATAATTCAGCAATAACAACCAGACTTGCTAAAAATGAGTTATCCAGTCCACACGAATTAATGCTCACAAAAACTCAGATCAATAAATTGAAAAAAGCAATGAGCCAGGGTACAGGGTCAGATATTAAAACATCAAAAACACAAATCAGAAAGGCCGTTAGACACGGTGGCAGTTTGTGGGGATCATTGTTCAGATTAGGAAGCAAGTTGCTACCAATGGTCATGCCATTAGCCAAAAAAGCTGTCGCACCGCTTGCAAAAGGTGCCTTATCAGGCATAGCCAGTCTCGGTGTGGATAAAATATTCGGAAAGGGCCAACGAGGAGGTTTTCTTATTCCACAGGATAAAATAGCACAATTGATTGCGTACAAATATTTACTATCAGCGGGTCAGAAGAGGGATATTCTTAATGCTCTTCAATCAGGCAGTGGATTGGTTATCAGACCAACAAAAACGCAGCAGGGCTGGTTTTTAGGAACTCTACTAGCAAGTATAGGAGTCCCCCTGTTACTAAATGCATTGACAGGAAAAAAGGCTCCAGGCCGACAGAACCGGTTCTGCTAATACAACATCTTTTTATGTTCCCGATACAACCAATGGCCATGGAATGATTACCCCGTATCCCTACATGCCACCATCCTTTGTTGGAACATGGAATAACCCGGTTGGTGCGGGAGTTAAAAAAAAAAAGAAAGGGAAAGGGACTACTTCTCGGCCCAAACAGTCCATTCAATTCAATCCCAATTCTAGGAAGAATTCTATAAGATTCATAAACAAACCGTTATCAAATATTGATTTGTTACAATAAGTTACACAGTCAGGAATAAAATATTTCAGGGGTATCTACATCCGTGATAATTTACCAAATAAAATACACAAATTGGAAACAGGAATAATTAATCTCGATGATTCTACTGGGGGAGGCAGTCCCTGGATTTGTTATAATATAGAAACGTGGATAAACAATATTGTGAATATTGTGACCCATTCGGATTGATTATGCCCAATGACATTAAACATTACCTGAAAACAAGCGGTAAAAAAATGGTGTACTCATAAGATGAAATACAAGAAAGGGACAGTGTTTTGTGTGGTTATTGGTGCTTATATTACCTTCTGGAGAGACAAAATGGTCGACCATTATTAGACGTTATTCACAACCCCAAAGTCAGTCTCACAGATCAACTGGTAAGTCACCAATTTCTTATAAACTATTTTATGTAATTCATATACGTAGAATGTCAGAAAAGTTCTGTGTTTATTGCCAAGAAGTTACCCCGAATTATGTAAATCAATATGGATGTTTTGAGTGCTGCAACTGTGAGCCCTTGAGTGAGAGTGATTATGAGTCAGATAGCAGCCATGATACTTATATTCCAGACAGTAGCGACACTGATTAAACAATATTTATTACCCCTATAATTATAAGAAACTGCTACCCTGTCAAAGCGACGGGTCAGGTCCTAGACCATTTTTATATAACATACAAACAGAATGTGTAGAGCCCTCTGGCTACAAAACTGTCAAAAATGGTAGACTAATGTTTTGGTGCACTTGCGCTGAATGCAGAATAAAAAAATTCAAATTTTTGAAGAAGGGAAAGTAATTGAGCCCTAACAAGCTGGGAGCGATTTATTTGACACCGTTGTAGGGAACCGCGACTGATCTATTTGTCCCCCACGGACTCCCTTGGATGGGTACAAAAGCAGTTGAAATGGGACGATATTATGGTTCCGAGGCTCTAAGAAACCCTAAATTACAGAAAAAAGCTATGGATTACGCTTTGGATAAATTGAATCCGATGATTCATAATGTTGGTTCTCATGCTCTTAACCAATTATCAACCAAAATACGACCAAAGAAAAACTATAAAACAAACAGGAAAGATCTTGATGGAGGTGCAATAGATATCCATAAACAGATTGGTAAATTACCAAGACCAGCAAGCGGGTGGACCTTACTAGGCCATAAATACACAGGGCCCTATAATGATCTAGAAAATCAAGTAAAATATAATCCAGAAACTGGTGAAATATTAGAAATTTATGATCAACCAACTGGGCCGACAGATGCAATATCGATGCAGCACGATGTCGATTATAGTGTCTGTAGAGATAACCGGAAGTGCAAAAATAAAGCGGATAGAAAAATGGTAAAATCGTTGGATGCCGTTCCTTATAGTGAAAGACAATGGGGCCACTGGTTAGCTAGAAATCTAATAAGCACAAAACAGAAACTCGGACTTGGTTTAAACAGAAAAAGCCGTCGGGTATTAGTTGGCAACAGCAATTAGCGGACGAAGTACATAAACCCATAAAACGCAACTTTACTCGGCGGCATGCTATCACAACCGGTATTGACAAAATTTGGTGCTCAGATCTAGTTGAAATGCAACAGTTCAGCAAATGGAACTAGGGTTACAGATATCTTCTCATTGTACTAGATCTATTCTCCAAATATGGCTGGATTATCCCATTGAAGGATAAGAAAGAGGAAACTGTCACAGAAGCCTTCAAATCCATCTTCAAAGAGGGCCGTAAACCACAATATCCTTGGACTGAAAAGGGGAAAGAATATTATAACAAAAATATGAAGGAATTATTGGAAAAGAATAATATAACACTATACTCAACCGAGAATGAGGAAAAATCTATGTGTAAGTGTTTGTGAAAGATGGAACCGTACAATTAAAACCAAAATGTGGAAACAGTTTACTGTCCAGGGTAATACTCAATGTCTTGACATACTACCAAAAATACTGAAGCAGTACAATAACACCAAACACAGTTCCATTAAAATGACTCCTGTAGAAGCTAGTAAAAAGAAGAATGAAAGTACCCTGTGTTTTAACCTATATGGTGATATGAAGCAATTGTCATCTAGACCCAAATTCAAAGTTGGGGATTAAGGATAAGGTTAGGATAAGTAAGTACGAGAGAAAGGTATTTGATAAAGGGTATACACCTAATTGGACAGAGGAGATATTCCTGATCAATAAAAGCCAATCCACAAATCCAATTACCTACAGATTAAAGGATCTCAATAATGAGGAAATACAGGGCAGCTTTTATGAACCTGAATTACTTCCGGCAAAACAGGATGTGTTTCGCATTCAAAAGGTCATTCGAAGGGATTGTAATTATAAGAAGAAACAAGCTCTCGTGAAGTGGTTAGTTTATAGTGACGACTTTAATAGTTGGATTCCATTGAGCAGCTTGCAAGATTTATCTAACTAATAGTATATGGACGGTCATATAAGAAAGCTTGATACTAAAATCCGCAGTAAGGAAACTGAAATCAATGCTGTTTACACTAAAATCCAAAAATTGGAGGAAGAGATTGCCACATTACATCACAAAAAATTAATCTCCATTAACTAGAATCCGCTGAGATGTCATTAACCGGTGTCCTAGAAGTGATCTTTGAAACGGAGGAAGAAGAGGAGAACGAGTAAACTACCAGCGTCCATAAAACGTGGACGGTGGATTGGGGCCCTGAAACGGGGCGTCAACAAAATCCCTCAAATGTTGGGGTGGACGTTTCGCCCCCTCAACAAAATGACACAAGAGGAAAATAAATTGAGACAGCTTTGTTGGGGTCGTGAAACGCGACCTCAGGTCCAATGTGCTGAAACGGCACCTCAGGCTCAGCATATTTTTTAATCTATCATATATACCATTTTATTGGTCTGTGTGATAGAAAATTATGTAACCTATATATATGGTGTATATGATAGAAAAGAAATATATCAATCAAAATATGAATATCGAGCTGACTTCATATATTGATAAGAAGCAAAATATTTGGTTCCGAGGAAAGGACATTGCTCAGATCCTAGGTTATAGTGACACAGATGATGCTCTTTTACGACATGTTGATAAAAAGTATAAGATGAAATGCCTTCAAACCTCACCCGGTGTTTCACCGGGTCAGGTCCGTTGGTATACTTTTATCAATGAGCCCGGTTTTTATGCCAATGTTTTTGGTTCAAAAATGGAGATTGCAATAAAATTCCAAGACTGGGTATTTACTACTGTGTTACCATCTATCCGTAAATATGGCCAATATAAACTATTTGATAGTCCCTGGAATAAGATGGTTATGATTGGCAATGAGACTGACCTCAATTATAAAGGAGTGGACCTCATAAGAAAGTACTATCCAGATTCCATTTCAGTAGCTGGTCTGGGTGAAAATCAGGATACTGAGGATAAGAGACTGGATTCACACAAAAAGGGATATATGAGAGGACAGCCTGATCTATTGGTACTTGATTATCACAAAGATTATAAAGGCCTGGGCATAGAATTCAAGAGTCCTACAGGTAATTACTATGTATCAGAAGCCCAAAAGGAGATGAAGAAGAAGTACGTTAATAATGGTTGTGCATTTATACTCAGTGATGATTATGATAACATCTGTAAAAATATTCATGAATACATGAAAGGTATCAGAGTACCGTGTAAATATTGTATCAAACAGTTCCGTAATAAGGACACACTAAAAATGCATTATGAAATAATCCATCGAATTGAAAAATAATATTGTCACAAAGTAAAAACAAGTCAGTATCTATTTAATACACCTTTTTTACGTTCCATAATTATATACAATATATATCATGGAAGATTATATCCGTCTTTTAGCTAAACAACAATCTCTATCAGGAGGCACTAGTTTGATATCTACGTATATTCCTCCAAATGGTACAGTAAGCCTTAGTAAACAAACGTTGACCAATGAAATCGGCCTTGTCTCAAATATTAAGTCAAAAGTCGTACAAAAACACACAAAAACTGCTCTAAAATCAGCATTATAGCAACTAAACCAGCTAAAAGAACCAAGAATTTGATGCCGTGGGTTGTTACTACTATCTGGCATCATAAAAAATACTTGTGAAGGATAGAAAGGATCAGTACTCAATGAGCCTGAGCAAGCAATAGAAAAAGCTGATTATAAATGCGGTTAGAGCTTTTATTTAGATCCTATTTCAGATACTTATAAAAAGAAAATAATTGAAAATCCAATAGTCGATAAAATATTGGATATGATTGCAAAAGCAAATATAGACAGGTTGGATTTTGGACTCAAAAAAATAACCAATAGTCATTCTCATGTTGTATTCACAAATGAGGATAAATATCAAAACTATAAACCAGATCCTGACTCAAAAACCAAAATAATATATAGTCGCAAATTATTTCAGTATGGTGATATGGTTGGGCTTAGATATTATTAATTATTAAAAACTGAATCATTGGATAATGCAATTCTAGCATTTTGATTGGCTTAGCCGTTATGGTATATGAGCTAAGATACCATGTTCTCCATATATGGTCGGTGTACGCGTCAGTTTAAAATTGGAAGCTAGCTGAGATTTTTTTTCGCGAAGGATAGAACGGCGCCCGAAGCAAATCGTTTTAATTCATTTCTTAGAATACTAGAAATGCAATTTCAACGAAAGAAAAAAGACAAAAACAAACAAAAAAGCCACAAGAGCTTGTTTGAAAGTTTGTCGAAAAACACATGAAAACACATGGAACTAAAGTACCTTGACCAGCTACGAAAGAAGACAAGTGTTGTTTCTTCATGATCGCGAAGCCATTCGTCGATCGAGTCACTCGCCGATAGATAACTGCAGCTTGTTTATCCGACATCAAGAATATAAATCACGAGTAACCAGCTACAAATACAGGCTATGCAGCCATTCACTAGAGCAATCGAGGCGGCAGTATAGCTTCTTTTCTTGTTCGGCAAAACCAGCTTGTGGCTTCAAACAACTTCATAACAAGCGACCGAGGTAATACCGGTAGTTTTTCTCCGTTGTTCTTACTTTTATAACTGCACCGAAAATCCAAATTCATAGTAATTTCGACGGCTGTCATGATTATAGCCAACTCGGCGCTATGCGCCTCGTTGGCTATCTATCATCTCATATCCAACGCGCCCTCGTGGAATAATTGTTAATTACCATATAACATATCCAATTTATCTTGTTTAATTTCCCAACCAGCTTTTCTGGTATTTATTTGTAAATTACATAAACGGTTATCTTTTTTGTTACCATTTATGTGAGTAATTATCTTCCCCTTCGGTAAAATACCATTATGACACTCATATACAAATCTATGTACTTGTCGTTGTAGTCTCTCAGAACAACCTACATTTCAAACACCACAATGCATAGAATAAGTTTCTGAATGCTGACGATAGCTAATAGGCGACCCATGTCTCACATTAATTATTGCTCCATCTTCTGGAGCTGCATATAATATGTAAACCGGATGAACTGCATAATAAATGTCATCTACAATACTGAATGTTTTTCCATCTTCAGGTCTAATATATATTTTGTCAATCGGGTAAATTTTATCCCAATAATCAATCTTCATAGGATTACTTTTTGGGGAAACTGGAATTGGTCTTGGTGGTTTGTATAAATTATTATTCTCAAAACAACGGATTAATTGCTTGATTCCCATTTTTCTAGGCGCGGCAATAGGGCGTCTCGCTTCTTCCCGTACTCGAACCAAGTTTTTAAATTCATCATCAGTAACTCCAGATAATAATCTTCTTATAAGTTCTTTACGATCAGTCTTCATACTATTACTATATATTATATTATTTTCATTTGAACGCACCATCTGCGTACTAGAGTAAAGCGCTATCTCTTTAAGCCTCGACAAACCACCCAAAACCGGTTCAAACCGGATTCCCAAGGTCAAGTGTAAAAAGGTTCATATATCAACCAAATATATGAAACTGTCTTAGTACCCTCATTTGCCCTACTTCTCTCTCTTTGTGGATGACAACATTATAGCAAACTTAGCGACAAAGCTTCCTACCAATCTTGCAGCTGCTGACGGCGTTGTGCACTCGAGGTCATACATGATGAAGTAGTCTTAGGGCATCTCAGTTTTATTTCCTCAATATTTTAGCTGACTAGATCTTTTTTTTCTAGGGATCAAACGATGACAACCAGCACGCAGGATCTTCGTTCACGCCTTCTGCAGTTTATTCCTTAAACCGGAAGTGGAAGATTTTCATAGTGTGTTCAGTCAGTCAATTCAGTTTATTTTCTCTCATATTTTAACTAGTGATAAGTTAGAGCCTTTTTAAAGATTGTGTTTACAGTTATAAACGTTTCTATTGAATTTGTTGCCCACTACGAAACTTTAAGAAATAAACTCCAGAAGCTGTAGACGAAGGTCCTGCTGGTTGTCAACGTTGGATCTCTAGAAAAAAAAGATTTAATCAGCTAAGACGGGATAGTTTCAGGCTGGGATAGTTTTGAATGACTGTCTAGGCCTACTTAAATTGTACAGTCAGCTTCCGGTTTGAAGTGCATTGCACTTCCTGTTCTGTGTCACGCAAACGTGAAATTCCCGCTCGGTGATATACAAGTATTTGGCACAGGATGGGAAGACAGTATGCTGTTGTATATCTTTGATAGGCTTTAAAAAAATGGTAGGTGTATAAATAGGGTTTCTTAGTATCATATTAAGAAAGTTACAATTCCACGTTGAATTACGTGATATTATTTTGAGTTCTAATATATAGATTTAGCCAGGGCTAAAAGCGAAGCTCCCATTAATAAATTCATAATTTAAATCAAACAATAAACTTGTAACCCACAAATCAGTTAACTTAAGGGCATATAGGTGACTTTTTAGGGAAAGCTAAGGCTAAGTGATTTTAGAGTGAAGAAAAATCTTACATCGAGTTGATAGCCTTATATGTACACCCAAAAAATAGCAATTATGTTCGATTACATTTAACAGCCATGATGGCTCTTGATCACAGTAGATTAGGCGTAGAAAACGAATTCTTGGAAAACAAATCAGGCCGAATTTTTGGCGTTCGACAAGTTTACTTTACAAAATCTTGCCAACAAATCTGGGTGCGTGTAAACCAGCATTTCATACTTTTTATACCTCACATCTGAGGCGAAACAGTAATATGAGGCGCTGTTTTTATCATACAGACCTCAGACAAAATGCAGTATTTCACAATTTTTCAAGACAAATATTCAGAACCATCGAGGCAGACGTGGGCTCTTAGCAAAACCGTTCAAAAAATTTCAAAAAACCACTATATACGGCCAACCGGTTCTCACTTTTGACAAGCGCCAAATTTTCAGTAAGCATTAAAAGAGTTACGCTTCAACGTAATAAAGAATTTATTGTGTTTATTTTTTATTTAATGGTTTTAAAACGATGTGTAATCTTAAAAAGCATTTGATGCGCGCGGCATTTTGAGTACTCCCGCAAGCGATGTTTTATGAACGACTGAAAACAAACGGCAAAGCGATTAAGATTGTAAGAGACTACTAACAATCAATAAAAGAAATATAATTCGGTGAAACATTTACGTACAGAGACAAAAATTTCCTTTCACGAAGGCAAGTTTTAAAGCGTCTTAAAAATCCTAAGTCTTTAAGCTTAAGCTTAAAGCTTTTAGCCGGCTTCCCGGTGTTTACTGTTTTCAAAGATAAACTCGAGGCAAGAAAATCGCTCAAAGTTTTCTGTCTACAGCCAAAATTATAACTAAATACTCTTGGGAACATTTTTTCTTTCTATTTGCGGAGAGAAAATATCGACTAAACCAAACCTCATACTAGGTCAGATCGTTGTCTAAGATCTTAAAGTGCTACTACGATCAAAATTTAATGTCAAGTTTGTTACAAAAACGCTTTCTTTTCAGCTTATCAGAAGTGGCTGTACCTGTTTCGGTCATTGAAGTGAACTTTGGCGCCCTCTAAGTGAAAATATTGAGCTTGAAATGTAGGTTTTTCGCGTCCGCCATTACAAATTTATGTGCCAGTGACAAAGCTATTGTTCTCTGATTGTGACGTCATTTTCTGAACACGCCAAGAAAACAAACCTGAACCGTGAGAAAACGGCGAGCGATTCTCAAAGCTTCGCTCGTCTTCGCCCGATTCTGGAATTGTGAAGGAGGAAATCATAGATTACGATGACTCTGTAGAACCAGCACCGACTGAATATGAGAAAGTCAAATATTAAGGACAGCTAGCCTCAGAGAAGGAAAAAACACACTTCACCAAGTCGTATTTTATGCAGTTTGTGCCGACGGAGAGTCGGACTACTGGTAGGTGTATTTGTATACGTACTGGCTACAATAATAATACACAGGCAAGACGATCGAGAGTCAGCACCAATTTCACCTGCCTTCTAGCCACTCTCGAGTGCTCATTTATCCAAGTGAAGATAAAGTTTTGCTTTATAGCTCTTCAGGCACAGCGAATCAGAGTGGGTACAGTTTTCAGTTCAGCTAAGTTGCAGTTCTAAAGCGGCCAGCTCGATGACGTATGCATGTGGTTTTTTTTCCCATCTTAAACGGACTGCTGTCCTTTATTATTGAAAATTTAATTGTTAGTTTAGTGTTGCGTATCTGAGCTGAGGATTTTAAAATTAGATCTAATGGTA